TGGGCCCACAGACCCCCAGCTACCTGCTCTGTGTCCTGGGAGACCGACTGGATGGGTAACTCCCACTGGCAGTGGCTGTGTCACAGACTCTTTGTCTGCCTGCAGGAGCGTCACCCCAATTTTATAGGGCAGGGGTCTGGCCTCAAACCACCCAGTCAGGGGTGACGTGAGAAACTTGGTGGCCTGAAGTCAGAGGTCGTGGAGGTGTCAGAGGTCGTGGAGGTGCCAGGCACTCAGGGAGGGGGCACCGTGGACAAGTCAACCCATGAGCTGCCCACCTGGGGCCTCAGATCTCCTGGCCCTCTGGGGTCTCCCTGCCCAGCTCCTTGACACCTGCCCCACCTCCTTCGGCAGGTGAGGAGACTGGGGCCCAGACAGGGCCAGGGGCTGTTCCAGGTCCCGGGGGTGAGATTGCCCTTCCACGCACACACCTGGGGCGCCTTTCTTGCCCACTCTGCCCGCTTTGGACTTTCTCTCTGAACACCTTGCTCCAGCCCATGGTCCCGTGAGCCCCATCCCCTGGTTATTAAAATGTGTCTTTCCTGTTTCTGTGTGTGGGTGCCGGTCTGCCTGACCCCCCATGTCCTGTGAGCCATCCTTATCTGTCCTTGCAAGGGCGGATTAACCAGTAAGCACGGTACGCAGGGCTTAAGTGTGTTTATTTACTAATCTGATGTGGTGAAAAAGAAGTGAAATTGTGCACTACAGATTAGTAAGTAAGCATAAGTAAGCCTGGGTGTACCTTGCTTACGGGTAATGCGTCCCCATGTCCTTGTATTCAGGGCACCCAACACCCAGCGCCAGCCGGGAACACTCACTCAGCAAATATTTACCGGCATGCAAATGTTTGTCGACCTGGTGTGATATGAAGTGACTGCTCTAGGCAATGGTTCTCACTGGGGGCCACTCTGTCCCCAGGGATGTTTGGAAAGGTCTGGAGACATTTTTGGTTGTCACTACTGGGGGTGGCTGCAGGTATCTAGCGGGGAGTATACAGGAACCTGTTCTGCACCGTTTGGTGCACGGGAGGCCTCCTGGGGCAGGGAGCATACAGGAACCTGTTCCTCATCCTGCGGTGCACGGGAAGCCCCCTGGGGCAGAGAATTGTCCAGCCCAGACGTCAGTAGTGCCAAGAGCAAGAAAGCCAGGTCTAGGACAGCCCAATGGCCGTGGCTTGGGTGCTCCAGTATTGGGGTCCCCGGCAGCGATAACTCCCAAGAGTCAGGCATGAAGCCCATCCTGGCCACAGTCTGCGCTCTTACCTGAACCCCAAACTGAGTCTCACTATGGTCCCTGTCTGAACCCTGACCATGGTCACCAAATGTGCCCTGATCCCGGCCACAGCCTGAACCCTGACCTTGGTCACACCCCAAATCCTAGTCACACACTAAACCCTGACCCTGGGGCCAACTCTGGTTACTGATGGAGCCGTGATCCTGGTCATACTGATTCCTGATCCTGATCACTGAGCCCTCATCCTGGTCACCCTGAACAATCACCCTAGTCACAAACTGCGTTCTGACCTTGCTCATAGAGAAGGAACCCTGTCCCGGTCATACTGAACCCTGATCCTAGCCATTAACGGAGCCTGACCCTGGCCACACTCAGCCCTGTCCCGCATTCACACCTTGGGCACACACTGAGTTCAGTCCCTGGGCCGAATCTGAGCTGGGATCTGCTGGCAGTCCCATTTTCCAGTGGGTCTGTCACAAAGGGAACACGACAGCTCGCAACACCTCCCCGCCCCCGTGCCGTGGACGGGCCTGCGTGTGCTGCCGTGCAACTCGCCCTTACCCCCCCGTGCCGTGGACGGGCCTGCGTGTGCTGCCGTGCGACTCGCCCTTACCCCCCCGTGCCGTGGACGGGCCTGCGTGTGCTGCTGTGCGACTCGCCCTTACCCCCCCGCCAGTCCTCTCTGCTCTGTGGTCACCTCCTAGGACTCCAGATTTTCCTGTTCTCCTGGCCCCCCCCCACTCTGAGCACCCTGTGGGCCCACACCAGTTGGGTACCCTGGAAATCCTGCCCGTTCACAGAGCTGATTGTGAGGATGGCGCAGGACCAGGCAGTGTTTCATTCTGTTGTATACAGGGTCACTGTGAGTCCGAACCAGCGGTTCCTAACAACCACACAGCTGGGGTTTCCTGTCTCCTGCTCAGCTTTCTGGCCAGGATGAGTAGCAGGAAAGGGGCGTGGGATGACCACAGGGGCCAGGCCCAGGAGGGAGGGCAGGAGGGCCTTCTGGGGGCACACCCCACCTCACAGGGAGTCCTTCCCAACAGACTTCGTGGGGCACATGTGGCCCACATTCGAATTGCACAGCGACCGATGCCCTTGTTTTTGGATGAATTCCTTATTTCATGCAGAGTCAATTGTGAAAGATAAAGACAGCATGTTGTTGGCAAAACCGCACCTGCTTCCACCCTATACTTCCGTAGACCTTTGTCTTTGAAGAAATGATGCGTTCACAACTCAGGATGGCCCACGCTCGGTGAGATCACACGACCCCGTTTTGGGTCCTGGAAATTATGGTCATGTGTGCAAGCGTGTGTGTGTGTGTCGTATGTGTGAGTGTGTGTATGTGTTTCCGAGAGAGTGTGTTTGTGTGTGAATATATGAGAGTATGTGAGTATGCATCTGTGTGTGCATGTGGGTATGCTTGTGGGAGAGTGTGCGTGTGTGAATATGAGCGCGTGTATATGCGTTTGCGGGAGAGTGTGCGTGGGTGAATATGAGCGCGTGTATATGTGTTTGCGGG